CCGTCAATTCTACCGCTACATAACCTACCGACATCCAGGGCTCTATTTCAATTGTCCACAGATTCTGCATTCTGTGCACAGAATGCAGAATCTGTGGACAATTGAAATAGAGCCCATAAGTCTTTATTCTTGTGTGCTGGGGATTGAAAGGGATATTGAGGGATTTGAAAGCTTTAGAGGAATTAAGTGGATATATTGAATTTGGGGGGATATTTCGGGACTGTGGAGGAGGTTACTTTTAAACATTTTCTGAATAAATCAGAATTTTTATTTAAAAATTTTTTGCGTTCCTTTTTTGCGCACATCCTTGGATTAATTTGTGTTCCAAATTTTTCTCCAAATAAATATAAAATTTTTTAAATAACTTCTTTCCCACTTCTTTTTATTTTGTTTCTTTCAAAAAAATTCTTCCTCTCCCGCCCTATAAATTTTCCGCTTTTATGACATGTATTAAAATTGTAGTGTGACGAGAATTGAAAAACGATTTTTAGATTATTTATTGGGTTTTTTGGAGGTTTTTTGCTAATATATCTGCTCTTTTTCGCCTTCTTTTATTACTTCTCTTCTCTTTTCGGCTTTTTAAAGAGATTTTTTTATTAAAAAGGAATCTTAGTCAATAAAATATATCCCCCCCCCTCCTCACCTCTTTTATTTGGGAAGAAAAGCATATGTTTATATGTGTGTGTAAAATGTTTATTTATTTTTTTAAATTTTTTTTAAAAATAAGGGGAGGGGGGGGGGCAGTTAAAAATAAACTGAATTTGTAGGAGGAAATGGAGAGGAAATTTAAAAAAAAATTTTTATTTGTAAGTTATTAGTAAATAAACAGCGTGAGTGTAAATAAAGCTTTTAAGCTTGTTTACAATTTTTTTGAGGCTGCGCGGAATTAAATTTTAATAAGGCCATATTCGTTAATTAACTGAAAAATGTAAACTAACTGAAAATATATTTAAATACAATTATTTTTTAATTTTCAGAATTAAAAAATATTTTCTCAATAATGTTTCTTGTTAGTAAATATTGTCTTCTTTTTAATTAAAAAATTCTGAAAAAAAATTCTGATTATTCCGGAAAGTTTAAATAACTAGAATTTCTTTTATAAATTATATAATTCTGATCCTTCGGAAATGTTTTAAAAATTCTGATATTCTTAAAACTTTCCGGAACAATCAGAATTTTTCAGAATTTTTATTTGAAATATACATTCTGATTTTTGATATTAATTCTGATTTTTCCGGAAAGTTTAATTTAATTTCTCTTCAACTTTTTCTTGCTAAATTAAATGCAAATAAATTACACACCTTTCTATAAAAATACAAAAAAATACAAATTTATTTAACACACTTGTGTAATAATATTTTTTTAATGAGTGGGGGCACCCCCGTCATCAACATTCTCATTCATTTATTCATCAGCACCCTCTTAAACCGGCCATTTATTAAAATATTTCTTTCATTTTCTCAACTAAAAATATATTCGCCGACACAACAACGACCATCCGGCTCCCGGACAATGCGTCAGTGGACAATCGGTCAGTATTGATAAAATTGATTAAAAGTGATGATATAAAGAGATAAAAATCCACTGATATCTCTCCAAATCGAATGATCTCCATCTTTATCCAACCAAAAAGATTAATATCTCTGTTAATCCTCCCAAACCCGGTTTATCGGCCTTAATATCAATAAATTGCCTATATCTTTTTTAAACCCCCAAAATCCCTTTTTAAATACTCCTAATCTGATTATATCACATCTTTAGTCCTTTTATATCACTTTTTATCCCTTTACATTATCACTTTTAATCACTTTTTATCAATACTGACCGATTGTCCACTGACGCATTGTCCGGACACGGACCATCCATCCGCCTATTTTCTTTTTTTTTTAAACAAAAAATAATAACCATATAAATTTTTATGCTCTAATGATTTTACACACACACACATAAAGTTGTAAAATAAATTTATTTACTTGGAGGGAATTTAATTTTCTTTTAAATTAATTTTTTAAATTTAGGATATAGTGTAGTGTACCGGTGGTAAAAGTTCGGGACGTGACATATGTCATTCGATTCGTCTCGGCGAGCTGAGTCGAACGGTACCACTCCCTACTTTAGGAAATGATTCTGGACCGAGTTATAGGTCCCTGAAAATCGAAAAACCATAGGGGGGAGTAAGCTCGATTTTGGAGTGAAAAATTCGAATATGCAAATAATAGCTCATTCGAAAGAGCTCATCGAGCTGAGTCGAATGACACCAAAATCATCGAAATCCGACATGATTTGACAAAGTTATGCTCGTTTGCTTTAGCTCCTTACCTATGGTGTCCATGGGGGTTTTTGCTGCTACGGAGGCCCCAGTTACGTCCAGAGCAAGGGAAATATGAATAGGGTTATGTTACGAGCCCAGACCCAGCGCCCGTAGACTCTCCGCGAGGCGCGTGCCGCAAAACTCCGCGCGAAGCGCGGAGTTTTGCACAAGCGCCTCGCCGACGCCCCATAGGTATACGTTGTTTGTTTTTGTGTCGTAACTTTGTATAATTTTGTTCAATTGCTGTGATTTTGGTGTCATTCGACTCAGCTCGACGAGCTCTCTCGAATGAGCTATTACATGTTTTTTCGAATTTTTGACCATAAAATCCCACTTCTGGTTTTTGACCATTTCGAGCCCTCTATCTCGACTCAAACTTCTTCAATCAAGCTGATTTTGGTGTCATTCGACTCAGCTCGATGAGCTCTTTCGAATGAGCTATTATTTGCATATTCGAATTTTTCACTCCAAAATCGAGCTTACTCCCCCCTATGGTTTTTCGATTTTCAGGGACCTATAACTCGGTCCAGAATCATTTCCTAAAGTAGGAATCATTTCCTAACTACACTATATCCTAAATTTTTATTTATTTAATTATTTTTTTTTAATTTTGTCCACATCAATTAAAAAAAATTTTTTTGTTGTTGTCCACTTGAGAACAACACCCTTTTTCTTATAAGTTTGTTTGTACTTTTTCTCTATTAAAAGAACAAACATCCCTTCCTATAAAAACACTCTTAATTTTTAATATTATTTTTTCAGGAAAGTTTAATTAAAAAATATTCTGATTTTTCCAGAAAATTTTTAATAAAATGAAAAATTATTTCTTACAAAAATTCCGGAAATGACCCTTTTTAAAAATTAGAAATAAATCTTTTTTTAAACTTTCCGGAAATTTTATGTATTTATTTATTACAACCTTAGAAAAAATCAGAATTTCTCGTTAATAACATTTCTGAAATCAGAATTTGCTTAAATTAACTTTCCGGAAAAATCAGAATTATTAAAACCTTCCGGAAAAGATATAATTTATTATTTATTAAAACTTGTCGAAAAAATCAGAATTTTCTTTTTCTGTTTTTTGCGTTAATTTTTTTTGCGCACAACCTTGGTTAGAATTTTTATTTTAAGCTTTCCGGAAAAATCAGAATTTCTATTTCTGATTTTTTTTAAAATTCTGGATTTTAATTTAAAAAATATTTATTTATTGTGTTGATCTTTAGGATTAAATTATTTTTACTTTAATTTTTGTTTGTATTTTACCTTCTTTCTTTTTTTTTATTTCACTTCTCCGTTTGCACAAACAAGCAAACAAAATATTTTAGAAATATACACTCTCATACACAAATTGCTTAAATCCTCTCTTATCTTTAATTTTTTTCTCAAACAAATTAAATACTTGAAAATAAAATAAATAAAAATATTAAATAAATAAATAAATAAATAAATATACAGTCGTGGAAAAAAGTATGGAAGCGCTAGAAAATTTTTTCTTAATTCTTAATTTTTCATTCAAAAAATACGTTCTATATACCAATCGAAAGCTCTATTCGTATCTCAGTTGACATGTTTCTGCATTTTTCATGAAAATGAAAATTGGCCGAGATAATCCGGATCTACCGGATATACCAAATCCCACTTTTTCGGAAAAATTTTTCGGAAGAAATTTAACAAACCCAAATGATAAAGCATATTTTTCTGAGTATTTTCCACAAAACCGCTTAGAAATATCTTTTTCCGGAGCAGAGATATGATTTTTTGAAAATTGCATTTTTCGTCTATTTTTGCAAAAAATTCAATTTTTAAGCGAAAAATGCAATTTTCAAAAAATCATATCTCTAGACCGGAAAAAGATATTTCTAAGCGGTTTTTTGGAGAATACTCAGAAAAATATGCTTTATCATTTGGGTTTGTTAAATTTGTTCCGAAAAATTTTTCCGAAAAAATGGGATTTGGTATATCCGGTAGATCCGGATTATCTCGGCCAATTTTCATTTTCATGAAAAATGCAGAAACATGTCAACTGAGATACGAATAGAGCTTTCGATTGGTATAGAACGTATTTTTTGAATGAAAAATCAAAAATTAAGAAAAAATTTTCTAGCGCTTCCATACTTTTTTCCACGACTGTACATTTTGGGGTAAAAATAATTATTAGTTATTTTATTCAAAAATTATTTACCTAATTAGGTAAATTAATAAATTAAAAGAAATCAGAATTATTACAAATTAATTTATTTTAATTATTTTCCGGAAAGTTAGAGAGAAAAGAGAGAAAAATCAGAATTATTACTTAAAAAGCATCTCGGAAGAATCAGAATTTAAATTAATTTCCGGAAAGTTTTTCAGTGGAGGAAAATCAGAATTATTAAGTCAGAATTACCCTTTATTCCGGAAAAAAATCAGAATTTAATTTAAATTATTTTTCCGGAATTAATTATTGTCTTTTGTCTTTCTTTTTCCGGAAGCGTTAACTACCAATTTTTATTTTTACTCTATTTTTTTCTTTTTTTAACCCTCTCAAAAAATTTTTTCTAATCCCTCCCTCGATAATTTTTCATTATTTAATTTTTTTCTAGAAAAATCAAAAATTGATTTTTTTGAATTTTTAAAAATATTTAATTTTCTCCATATTTTATTTTCATTTTTAATTTATTTAAAAATTTTTTTCTAATTTTTTATTTTTTAGTGGCAAGTGTAGTGTACAATCAGTTAAAGATTTGCGGACGGCGCTAGCCGAAATAGACTTTGGAGACGATAACGCCTTTTTTCATTGCCTCAATTATAATCAGGAGAGTGGTAGACTTGCTTCTTGTCAAATGAGTATTAAAGTTGGGAGTGCTTATCAGGTAGTGAGGGGAGGGGAATTTTGGATTTTTTAAATAAAAAATTGCAGGCAAATATCCCTTCCTGCTCCTCTTCAACACTCAGTGATGACCCAGATCGGGATGAGTTGCTGTACAGACCCGGGTATTTGTGCCCCGAAACTGAAGATAAATATGTCAAAATGGCAAGGACTTTTAGAACATTTTCTTTAATGAGTGAGGAAATTAAAAAATAATTTTTGGAATTTTTTAATTTTTAAAGACAATAAAAGAATTACAATTTTGGAAAAGTCAGCACGTACCGGCGATTTATTATTAGATGATGCTGTGGTGGCTTTACATAGAAGTGGGTATTCGGTAATGGATGCTATTAATACAATGCAGGTAAAGAGGGGAATTGAATTAAATAAGATAGGTATATATACTTAAGTTTGTAAACTTAAGTTTCTAAGTTTGCAAACTTAAGTTTTTAAGTTTGTAAACTTAAGTTTTTAAGTTTGTAAACTTAAGTTTTCAAGTTTGTAAACTTAAGTTTTTAAGTTTGTAAACTTAAGTTTTTAAGTTTGTAAACTTAAGTTTTTAAGTTTGTAAACTTAAGTTTCTAAGTTTGCAAACTTAAGTTTCTATGTTTGCAAACTTAAGTTTTTAAGTTTGTAAACTTAAGTTTTCAAGTTTGATCTAAAAAATATTTTTTTAAATTAATATTGAGAAAAAATTTAAAAATTAAAAAAAAAATTTTTTTAATAAAATTTAATATTCTAGGCAATAGATACACACTTAACTACAGACAGCTCTTTTATGAATGCAGACGATGTGAAAAAGTTTGGAAGAGGAATAAAACAATATGGAAAAAACTTTAATAAAATTAATAAGGTGGGGAAAAGTACTAGGAATTTTAATTAATTCTGGACTCTCTCTTTCCGGAAAATGTTTAATTAATTGTTTAATTCTAATCGTTCCGGAAAATTATTTTATTCTTTTCCGGAAAGTTTTTTTGTTTAGAATTTTAATAAATTCTGGTCTTTCCGGAATCTATTTATTTAATTCTACTCATTCCGGAAAGTTTAATTAATTATAATTAATATTCTGATTTTCAAGTTTTTTATTTAATATTTTTAGGATCTCCTGGGAAACCATCGCAGAGAGCAATTAATAGCTTTTTATTATTTATGGAAGAAAAGTGCAAATGCAACAAGACCTAAACCTTTAGGCAATTCAAAGAGAACACAAGTTTCTGTTGCTTCTTTTAGTCGACGTGCTAGAACAACTGCTAATAGTACATTTAATGGAATTGGTAATGGTGGTAAAAATGCTTTAACTAATGCAGCTGAGGGGGGAACTCCGCCGCCTTCAACTGATTCTGGGGAACAAGTTGATGCTTCAACTAAGTCGAATAGTGGAGGAGAAAAGTAAAGTTTTTGTTTTGAAGTTTCTGATTTTTCCGGAAACAATTCTGATTTTTCCGGAAGCAATTCTGATTTTTCCGGAAACAATTCTGATTTTTCCGGAAACAATTCTGATTTTCCGGAAACAATTCTGATTTTTCCGGAAACAATTCTGATTTTTCCGGAAGCAATTCTGATTTTTCCGGAAACATTTCTGATTTTTCCGGAAGCAATTCTGATTTTTCCGGAAGCAATTCTGATTTTTCCGGAAACATTTCTGATTTTTCCGGAAACAATTCTGATTTTTCCGGAAGCAATTCTGATTTTTCCGGAAGCAATTCTGATTTTTCCGGAAACATTTCTGATTTTTCCGGAAACATTTCTGATTTTTCCGGAAACAATTCTGATTTTTCCGGAAACATTTCTGATTTTTCCGGAAACAATTCTGATTTTTCCGGAAACAATTCTGATTTTTCCGGAAACAATTCTGATTTTTCCGGAAACATTTCTGATTTTTCCGGAAACAATTCTGATTTTTCCGGAAACAATTCTGATTTTTCCGGAAACATTTCTGATTTTTCCGGAAACAATTCTGATTTTTCCGGAAACATTTCTGATTTTTCCGGAAACAATTCTGATTTTTCCGGAAACAATTCTGATTTTTCCGGAAACAATTCTGATTATTAAAATTAATAAATTCCCCATTTAAGTTCAATTTCTCCACTTGACGAACTTCAAGATTATGCAAGCGCTTCAGAAGCAGAAACTGAGCAGCTTGATTCTCAACCGGGAGGCGTTGGTCGTGCATGTCATCATTGTTTCTCCTCAAGTAAAATTTTGAAAAAATTTTATTAAAATTTTTAAAAATTTAAAGAATCAGTTGATTGGCATCATGCCGGGCACGACCGTTTACTTTTAATGTGCACAGAATGTCGAATATTTTATAAGAGATATGGACAACTTCGACCAGTAGAAAGGCCTAGCACTGTTCCCCCTTGTCTTCTAATGCCAGCAAACACAACAACTTCTAGGCAAGACAGTGAAGAAGAGGATGAGAATGAAGAACCTTTTAATGGACGTTCAAATCGTTTGAGAACGAGGGGAGGAGGAAGTAGACTTTTGCCTCAAAGAACGCCTAGTTCTTTAGATTTAATGGAAAGTGGAGGAGAACAACGACTTCGGGGAACTCCACAAAAGTTAGAAGAAGAACAACAGCGACGTAGCACTCCATTGAGAAATTCTGCTGGGAAAACGGGTCGAAAACGTGGTGGAAATAATAATAATAGAGGAGGAGGAGGAGATTCTGTTAGTTTTATTTTTTGAAACGTGTCCAGACATTTGGGGAGTGGGCACTTGGGAAGTAGAGAAATTTGGGGAGTAAGCGGTAAATTGGGCAGTGGACACAAATTTTGATAATGTCGACCGCATGTTAACCGGAACGAAACTAAGGGGAGTATAGGGAGTAGATTCCCCAAGTTCCTCTCTCCAAATGACCGGAAGACCTTTCGAAACTCAAGACCTTTTAAAATCAAGACCCTAAAAAATAATTTTTTTTAGTTATATGATGAATCTACCCCAACCCCACCAAAAGGTAAGAGGTCAAAAAAAGGAAATGTAGCAACTACAACAACAACAACCTCTCCCCCATCTTCTTTACCTTCCAATACAGCAGATGATTCTCGTACTCCTTCACCTCCAACAACAACAGTAAATGTTGTAAAAGAAGATAATGAACAAAATGAGAATAGTAATAATAATACTAGAAAGAGAATATCTAAAAAAGAAAAATTAAAACAAGAAAAAATTAATAAAGATAAGATTGAAAGTAGTGATGATAATACTGCTAAAAAAGTGAAGGTGGGTTTTTATGAAGCTTTGTAAAAATGTATAATTTCTTTCTGATTTGAGAATAAGAAATATTTAATACTTAATATTAAACTCTAATTTCAAACTAAAAAATAGACTTAAATATCAAACTTGAAAATCAAAGTTTAAGATCAATCTTAAAAACTTAAGTCTACAAACTTAAGTTTAAAATCAAGCTTAAAATTAAGTTTCAAGATCAACTTTTTAAAATCAAACTTAAAAACTTGAGTTTACAAAATTAAAGTTTAAAATCAAGCTTAGGCTTAAGATAACAAACTTGAGTTAAGATCAATCTTGTAAATTTAAGTTCACAACTTTAAAACAATTTATTATAAAGAACAAGCTTAAAATTAACTATAGACAGAGGCTTGAGTTTAAGATCAATCTTAAAAACTTTGGTTAACAAAACCCGAACAATTCTAAATTAAAATTACCCACATATAATTCACAGTTGGAACGTGCTGATTCACATGCGGGTATAGTAACTCCCCAACCTGCTACAGAAAATACAACAACTAGTACCTTGTCTTCTCCAATAATTGAAACTTGTATTACTCTGAAAGAAGAACAAATATCCGATGATTTGCCTTCAAAACAGAAAAAATCAGAAAAACATTCAAAATTAAATTTAGAAACTTCCCAAGTTTCTTCACCAAAAAATTCTCCCCCAGTTGGAGCAGCTACAATAATTAGTCGTAAACCGGTAGCTAAAGTAGAGCCTTTGGAAACTAATAAAGAAGAGGTTAAAAATGAAATAATTGAACAAATTCAACAACAAACAAGTCAACAACAAGAAGTGGAAGAGAGTTGCAAAATTGTTGGAGGAGGAGGGGAAGAAGAAGAACCTTCAAATAATACAACAATTATTTGTGTTGTTTCTTCAGATGATGAGGAGGGGGATGAAAAGGAGGAGGAAAATAAGAAAGAATGGGAACAAGATTGTGGTCCGTTGGGTGAAGTGGATTCAACAGAAATTTATAGAACTGTTGAAGGGAAGAAGGACAGTAGAGGAAAGGTGTTAAAATTTTTTTATAAAAATAATGGTGTTTTAGAAGTCATAGAAATTTAAGTAGGCGATTAGACTTGAAATTAGTGAACAGAGAAATAGTTACCTTTAAAATATAATCTTAAGATCAAACTTAACTTTAAGATTAAGCTTAAGTTTAAGCATATGATTAAGTTAACCGTTAAATTTACTTAAGAATTAAATTCAAGATCAAACTTAAAAAGTTAAGTTTAGCAATTAAATTTTAAACAATTTAACGAATAAGATTGACAGAGAACTTTTTTTGAAACTCAATACAAAAATATACATATTTCCGATTTTCAGTTGATAACCATCGAATCTCGAACAATTTTGGAACGTCGATTAAAACGAATTTCTGGTTTAACATGTGCCCGTACAGATATTGCTTATTTGGAGTCTCCAGAACGTGCTAGACATAATTTACAAATGCGAGAACGTGAACGTTTAAAAAAAGAACAGGAAAGAGCAGCAAAACAACAACATAAACAAATGAGTGTTGCTACTATTCCAGTTGTTCAACCTTTAAAAAAGATGGAAATGCCTGCTGAATTTGGTGGACAACAACATCAACAACAACAGCAGCCTTCTTTAGTTTATCTTCCAAATGGAGCTACTATTCCTTGTGTTTCTGGCAATAATCAACAGCAGCAGCAACAACTTGCTGCTTTGCATCACCCAATGATTTTAAATGGAACTTTGCTTCCTGGAAACAATATTGTAAATATGCCTGGAGGAGGCCCTATCCTCTCCCAATTTAATTCTTTTGCTGCTCCTCAACAGTCAAATGAGGTCTCTTCAACTTTCTCTTCTGTTGCTTCTTCTACTCTCCCTTCTGCTTCAACAACATTGCCTGCTTCAACTTCCTTGACTACACCACAAGCTTTCCAACAACCTCAACAACAACACCCACTTGTTGCAATAGGGGGAAATCATCATCAATTAATAAACAATCAACAGAATTTGCAGCAGCCTTCTGCTATAACTCCGCTTGTGAATCAAACACCAGCAAATGCTGCAGCTTTATTACATCAACAGCAACAACAACAGCAAGAGAATGTTTGTTATTTTATCTATTTTATTTGCTGGAAAAACCAGAAAGACCAGAATTTTTATAAATTTAAAACATTTCCGGAAATATCAGAATTTTAATAGCGTTAGTATATTATGTTTTTAGGCGATATTTATGCAAATACTTATGGGAAGTGATCCTCGCCTTGTTCAGCAATTACAAACAATGTTTCATATGCAGCAGCAACAACAACAGTCTCTTGCACCTCCCTCTGCATCAGCAGCCTCAACTGCTACAACAAACACTGCTTCAGCTCCAATTCCAACACCTAATATTGTTGCCCAGCAACAACAACAAATGCTCCAAATGCAGCAAATGCAGTGAGTTTAATTTTGATATAGGTGATCTTGTATTGGGGATATCTTATTGTGAGATGTATCTTTATATAAATGTTTATGTGGTTAAATATACCTTACAAAAATTTATTTTCAGAATCCTTTTTGGTCTCCAACAGCAACAAGAACAAAAACAACAACTCGAACAATTTCAACGTCAACAGCTACAACAGAAAAATGCTCAACAACAGCAACAACAAAGAGCAACATCTGTTGCTTCCACTAGTACAAACATTCCTCAACAACATATACTTAATGGTTATCACCAAAATAACCAACAACATAAATTGGGTGGTGTTGGAAATAATATTGTTAATCCTTCACAACATTTTTCTCATCAGTCTGCTGCTCAGGTAGAGAATAAAATTCGTTGTAAAACCGAGAGAGTATTGTAAAAATAGGGATTATTAGGGAAACTCTAAAACTTTCCGGAAGGTTGTAGCAAATAATTAAGAGCACAACTTTTTCCGAAAGATGAATGTTTATTTAAATAAAACCCGAAAGAAATAAATTGTAAAAAATCGACTTTTTCAAAATTTTAAAAAATCAGAATTTTAAAATTAAACTTTCCGGAATATTCAGAATTTTTGTTTCTGATTTTTTTTGCTTCAATTGCTTCAAAGAATAAAAGAAATTTTAATCAATAAATAAAAATATAAAATTTTTTATTAATTTCCAAAAAAATTTTTTTCTAGCATAAATCCAAAAAAGAATCTGCTTCTTTAAAAAATCAGCATCCACAGCAAAATCAACAATTTTCTCACTTACAGCAAAACAACGATGCACTTATGAAGCAACTTTTTTACGGGGCTCAACAACACCAACAACCTCCCCCAAATATCGGAGCAGCAAATAATTTAAAAGATGCCCAACAACGTGCTGTAATGTTTGCTGCTTTACAACAACAGCAACAAAGGAATAATAACAATTTTCAACAGCAGCAACAACAACAACAATCTTCTATGTTGGCAGCTGAAATGGAAGCAATTTGTAATATGTTTCAACAACCACAAAATAATAATTCTGCTTCAATTAATATTCAACCGCAACAATTACAAGAAATGTTGGCTGTGCTAGCTGCTGGCGGGGCGGGACTTTCTCAGCAAGATCAAAGGGTGTTGGAAGAGCAAATTCGACGTGAGTATTCTGATTTTTCCGTTCTGATTTTCTTATTCTGATTTTCTGTTCTGATTTTTTGTTCTGATTTTTTGTTTTGATTTTTGTTCTGATTCCACTTTTTTAGTTATCATTCAAAACCAACAACAAGCTCAACAACAGCAGCAACAAAAACAACTGGCTGCCGCCGCTGCTGCTGCAGCACAACAACAACAAGCAGCCCACGCTCAACAGCAACAACAACAAAATGCCCAACAACAGCAATTATTTGCTGCTTTAGCTGCTGTTTCTGCTGCAAATGGAGGAAGTAGTGGACACGACCAAATTATGGCTGCACAACAAATTGCTCAAATTGCTTTGCAACAACAACAGCAGCAACAAAGCCAACAACAACAGGTGATTAATAAAACTTTCCGGAAATGTATTTGCTTAAACTTTCCGGAAATTTAAATTAAAATTGTAATAATATTAAAACTTTCCGGAAGCGTTTATGCACATTCTACGCATTAAAAAATAAACTTTCCGGACAGGAAAATTAAATAAACTTGACAAAAATTATATTCATTATTAAACTTTCCGGAATTAACAATTATATTTTCCAAAACTTTCCGGAAACATCTATTTTTAAGCAAACTTTCCTGAAGAGTTTATAAGCTTGTTAAAATCAGAATTTCTGATTATTAATTTTTTTTTCTTTTTCTAGCCTTCATCATCAACCAATAATAATTCTGCCTTTTTCCAACAGCAACAGCAACAACAATTTCAGCAACAATTTTTACAATTTATGGCTATGCAGCAACAACAGCAACACCAGAATGTTTCTCTTATAAACAATTCTACTTCCAATAATCAACAACAATTAACTCCAGAACAGCAACATTTATTTCAACAACAAATAGAATTGTTTAGAAGGCAACAACACAACCAAAATGTTTCTTCTTCTAATCCTCAAACAATCCAACAAAGAACCCCTATACAAGAACAATCACAATCTTCTTCTGAACAACGCCGATGATTTTAAATTAAAAAAAATTTATTTTTGCTTCACTTTTTTTTAAAATTTCTCTCAAAAAATGGGTCTTACATGAGTTAATCTATTTAAATATCAAAAAATTATTTTATTATTTTTATTCAATTCCTACCAAATTTATATAATTTTTTTGCTGCCACTTTTCTTCTTTTATGTATTTGAAAATATAAAACTTTCCGGAACAATCAGAATCTTAGTTTATATAAAATATACCTCTCCGGAAAGGAATATAAACTTTCAGGAAAAATTAATTTCTGATTAAAACTTTCCGTAAGGAATCTTAATTTTTAATTAAAAACTTCTCTAAAAATTAGAATTTTAAAAATAAAACTTTCCGGAAAAATCAGAATTTTCAGTTAAAACTTTCCGGAAACTCCAATTTTAAAATATAAGTTTCCGGAAAAATTCAGAATTCATTTTAAATAATTATTCCGGAAAGGTATTATTTATTCATAAAACTTTCCGGAATAATCAGAATTTTTATTCCGGAAAGTTTTATAGAAATAAATTCCGGAATAAATTTCTGAAAACTTTCCGGAACGATCAGAATTTTTATTTAAAACCTTCACAATTGTATTCTCTAAAACTTTCCGGAAATATTTATTTTTAATTTCAAGTTTCCGGAATTTTTACTAAGAATTTTTTAATTTCCGGAAACTAAACACATTAAATATTCAAAATTTATTTATTTTAAAATGTTTCAAAAATAAAATTGTTATTTTTAATATTTTTATTTACCAAATTTTAAACTTATATATTTATCAAAGAAACCGTCCTTATTACAGTCATAACCAATTTTTTATTTAATGTTTGTTTTTTTGGCATTGTTATATATTGTATTTTATTTTATCGTTTGTATGCATTATTGTGACAATGCAAATAAAAAATTTTTTTTGTTAAATTTTAATTTATATTTACTATTTTCTTGAAACTTTACATAAGGAATCACAATTTTTAATTCTTCTCGAGTTTTCAAATGTCGTTTACACAAATGACAAGTTCGCAAATGTCGGTTCACTTACATCGATGTTCTAAAAGGTCGACTTTTCAAAAATTTAAATAGCCTAAGACTAATAGAAAATTTTCTCTAAATTAAATTTTTAAACAGCCACAATTAAATATATAAACAATATAAATATTTAAGTAAATATTTTATTAAGAGAATAATGTGTTTAAAATGATAATTTTATTTTTAAAAAAATATTCTTTCAATTAATTTCAATGTTCACTTTCTACTCTCGTTCGCTTCGTTCCTCCAAAAATTTCCCCAGGAGAAGAAGCCAATTCTAATGCAGAAAATGGGGGAGAAATTCGTTTCTTTTTGTTTTCAATGCTTTGCTGCTGAAAATAATTTTTTAAATAATTTTTTAAAATTAATTAACCAATCCCTCCAAAACAGCAGCAAACCCATTTTCATTATTATTGTTGTTGGTATTATTAAACAATGTTTGTTGTTTTTGTTGGAAACATTCCATACACCGAACCATTTTTGAACGAACATTTAATACTAGACAATCAGAAATTCGCTAAAAAGAGAAAATTCTGATTTGTTTCAGAAAATAATTCTGATTCTGAAAAAAATTCTGATTTAAAATTTCTGATTCTGAAAGTAATTCTGATTTGTTTCAGAATTGATCTTTAAAAATTCTGATTTAATTCTGATTTTAAAAACAAAACAATATCAGAATTTGAAATAAACAATGTTTTTAAAAAATTCTGATTTAATAAAAACATTAAAACAAAACACACCTGACAAGAAAAACATGTTGTTGTTGTTTCTAATTGTTCAGAAACATCCTCATTAGGTTCATTTTTTGTTGTAAATGTGCCTGTTTCATTTTTACATTCAAATTTAGTAGAAGGTAATGAATGTTGTTTCCACTAAAAATTTTTTATTCTGATTTAATTCTGATTTTTTAAAAATAATTCTGATTTTCATTACCTCCATCTGGTCACTGTTTGACGACTCTAATATTCTATTTTCATCAATAACATTATTATTTGTGTTGTTTAAGGCACTATTTGTATTTATAGAATCAACAGATTCATCAGTAGTACATGGAGCGCTTGTAGTTGTTGATGATGTTAGGTGATGAAGAAATTGAGTTTCAAGTTTTGCTAAAAATAAGAGTAAAGTTGAGGCCATATTTTGGTTCATAACTTTTTTGATTCTTAATCGATTTAAATAGTTATTATATCAATCGAAAGCTCTTGATCTGAGGATTATTTTAGCTGACAGGATTGATTTGATCAGATCATTTTACAAAAAGTTATAAACGAATAAAGATCAAAAATCACGATTGCGCACACATATTCAGAAGTAACTTTTAGTAGAATGATATGATCAAATCAATCTTTGTAGCTGAAATAAATCCCCACATTCAGGGCTTTCGATTGATATAATAATTATTTAAATCGGTTGAAAATCAAAAAAGTTATGGCCCAAATCGTCTCGAACCTCCCACTCCTATTTCCTACCCAGAAAATACAACTTCCGAAAACCTTCCTTAAAAATTTCCGGAAGAATCAAAATAAAAAACTTTTCCGGAAAACTTATTTAAATTATATATTCTCGTGTCTGGTGATTTCGGCAGAAGTGACGTAGGCAGTGGTTAAATGGGCAGCAAGTCATTTAGGCAGTGAGGTGAATTGGGCAGTGAGTGATTTGGGCAGTAAACGTTTTTTAAAAATATATTTTCCACATAAAAGCAATTTGAGTATTTCAGATTATGAGTGATTTAGGCAGTAAATTATTTTTTAAAACTACTAATGCTCACAAATTTAAAAGTATGTATGTATATGTATCTAAAAGTCTAAATGATGAGCACAAGCTCGGAGGGAAGCTAGTGGCTCGCTATTGAATAGAAAGAGCTACTAAATTGTGATCTACTCGATCAAAATGATTTACTCGATCACCTTGATCTACTCGATCGATCAGCGCTGACATTAAATCACAAAAGTTATAAACATATTCCTGAGGAATAAAATTTACTGCCCAAATCACGCTCAATTATTTTTTCGTTGATACTCAAATTGTTTTTACGTGGAAAATATATTTTTAAAAAACGTTTACTGCCCAAATCACTCACTGCCCAATTCACCTCACTGCCTAAATGACTCACTGCCCATTTAACCACTGCCTACGTCACTTCTGCCGAAATCACACAGCACCTATATTCTTGCCTAATCTGGACAATAAATATAAAAATTAAACACCTTCCATCCGTCTTCGCTGATTACAACGAACTCTATCTAAAAGAGCTTCGCGTCCACTACAACTTCCATTACTTGTTTTTCTAAACAAATTTGGTTGAAAATTAATATCCTCAATTTTTTCAGTTTCTGACATTTTTGTTTTTGCCGTTCTTTCGCGTAAACTTTAAAAATAAATTTTTAATTTCAAAAAAATTAAGTTCCACCATTGAATAGCTTTTTGTAGTTTTCCCCTTTCCATGTCTAAATGTTTTGCCCATTGAGCAGAATCTTTTCCAATCTTTTCGTGACATGCAGGGCATAAAGCATTTCCATCAGAATCGCGTTCCAACTCTTTAAATTTAAAAAATTAGATCTTTAGGTAATTTGAAATAATATTAAGACAATGAGGAAGGACCAGAATATGTAAATGCAAAACATTCCGGAAATAGAGTTCCGAAAAAATCAAAAGAACCGGAAATAATAAGACTTTCCGGAAAATTTATGTATTATTACAATTAACCAATAAAGTTTTAAGTTCAATCTTAAGTTCATTCGTCTATTTAAGTTTAATCTTAAGTTTGTTTAATTTAATTTAAGTTTTTCAGGTTTATTTAAAATTTAAGTTTGCGATTTCTAAAAATTTAAGCTTAAATTTAATTTTAGTTCAATCTTAAATTTGTTTTTTCCTTTAAGTTTAAGCTTTAATATTCTATTTAATTATTACTTTATATTTATATATTTAAAATAATTTTTTAATCCCTTTTACTTTTTATAAATTTTATTTATCTCCAAGAAAATAAACAACTTAAAGTTTTTAATATTGAAGAAAATTGGGGGCAAGAAAAGAAAGAAAATTAATTTTATTTTATTATAAACACCAAACAAAATTCCCTAAGGAGGACATTCTTTAGATATTTTTCAATTGTTTAACCTTTTTTTGAGAGTATTTTCTTTATTTTTTACACTTTAAAGAAAGTCAATTGTATTTTATACTAGTCAACTCCCAATATAGCAATAAAGAACTTTTAAATAAAAAGAAAAGCCGAAAAAGTTTTTTTAATTTTATTCCAAAATTTGATTAAAAAAGGGAAGAAAATTACTTGAAAAAATAAATTTTGAAAGAAATTCCCAAAAGAGTTTAAAGTATTTTTAATTTTGACGTTAAAGTTGTAAGTTTATTTTGCAAACGAAACATTGTGGAAAAAGAATAGAAGATGATTGTTAATGAAGCTTAATTTTTGAATGTAAATAAGACAAAAATAAACTTAAGAATTAAACTTAAGCTCAAACTTGAAGAGATTGCAAACTTAAACTAAATTAAATAAACTTGAATATATTTAAGATTAAACTTAAGTTTTATTTATTCCAAGTTTATTTAAACTTGGAATAAATAAACTTGAGAAACTTAAGATTAAGCTTAAAAGAAATAGTACACTTAAGATTGAACTTAATATTAAATTAAACCTTAACAACATAAACATAAAAAATGCAAATTTAAATTAGAACTTAAGATTGTTTAAAAATATTTAATTCAAGTATTACTTAATTACATAATTAATTCCTTAAATATTTATTTTATTTTTTTTTTGTTTTCACACCTGCTTACACCTTCCTATTTGCTTTATTTTTTCCTGTCATTTGTCAAAACAAAACCTTAGTTAGTGCTACAAAAATAGTAAAATAAAAATAAATAAATCAAAAAACACAATTATCTCTCTCCATTTTTGGAGTTTTACATAAATAAAAAATAAATATTTTTGGGTAAAATAAAAAAATGATAATAAAAATGAAGAACAGAAGTAATTTACGCGCACCTGTCTATCTATTATATTATACAAGAAGTACTTTTTCCTTTCTTCTGACTTGAAATTTATTATCCTTTTTACTTAAAAATAGCAGAAGTCATTGTTTTTGTTATTCAATTAAGGAAAAACATAATTCAATAATATTAAGTAAAGAATGGGAAAATAAGCCAAAATATTAGTTGCAAACTTAAGTTTGAATTTTAATTTAAGTTGCGTTTGCTTTAAGCTTAAATTATTATTTAAGTTTAATCTTAAGTTTTATTTAAGTTTATTCTAAGTTTATTTATTCAATTTAAATAAACTTAAGTTTGGCTTAAGAATCTTAAGTTCGTTCAAGTTTTTTAAGTTTATTCTAAGTTTATTTATTCGATTTTAAAAAACTTAAGTTTAATCTTAAGTTTATCTAAGTTTATTTATTTAGATTGAGTAATTTAAGTTTGCGATTTATTCAAGTTAATTTAATTTTGTGTTTTCTTCTTTAAGTGCATCTTATCTTTCTTTGTTTTTATTTTCTTTAATTCTACAATACACCCAAATCTCCAATTTATTTACCTGAATTACCAATTATTCAAAATACCAATTATTTATTTTATAATATTTATTCAACCATTTAAAAAACAAAAAAAGTTTTTCGCGCGTTTTGTTTCCTTGTATTAAATTATATACATTTATTTATTTACACTTTTTTTTATAAAAATATAAGCGCCAAAATGACTGGTTTATCGTCTGTGAGAAAATAGAAGAATTTTGGACTTTTTTTTTGTTAAACACTTGAATAGTTTTCTAATTTACAGTTTTAGCGATAAAACAGTGAAAAATTGTTGGTTAAAGTTAAGCGCTATTTTTATTGTTATTGCAAACTTAAAAACTTAAGTTTAAAGTAAATAAACTTGAAGTTAAAAATAAATAAACTTGAAATTAAACACAAACTTGAAAATAAATAAACTTATTTGAACTTAAACTAAAAACTTTTAAGATTGAACTTAAAATAAAATAATAAACTTAAAACTTAAAACTGAACTTGAAATATAAATAAAACATTCATAAGATTAAACTTGAACTAAAAAATAAATAAACTTGAGATCAAACTTAAAAAAAGTTGCAAACATAATTAAAACTTAAAAAAGTTTCAAGTACCAAAACATACAAAAACATAATTAGTTTGCAGTTTCTAGGTTTCCTTTATATCTTGAAACTTTTGTAATTACAAATAAACAAATAAAAATAACGCTTCATCGATGAAGCGTAGAAACATTTTCTTTCTTCAATCTTTTTTTAAATAAAGGTATAGATATAGTTTAATTGGTTTTGCGCGATTTTCTAACTAATTTAAAACTTGGATGCTCATTTTAATATAAAAAAACCAAGTTTTTATGGAGAAGTGAGTGTGTGTTCAATCATCCATAAAATGATCAAAATATAGGGAAAATAAGGGGGGGGGGGATTAAAAATTTAAATTAAAATATTTTTTGGGGAAAATAGGGGGGGTTTTAAATAAAAAATTTTTTTTATTTAAATTTCTCGCTCATTTAATAATTATTTTTTCTTTTTCATTTTCCTTAAAAAATTTAAAAAAATTTATTTTCTAAAAAAATACTTAGAGAGATCATTCACACAAGCTTCTCACTCTTAAAAATAGCGGCATTTATCTTTCTTCCCTCAAAAAGACTACCTCCTACTGTACATCCTTCTTAATCTCATTAAAGAAAAATTATTTTTCTTTACTCATTCTCGTCTCTATTTTCTCAAATGTTTATTATCCTTTTTTTTATTTTCTCAATTCATCATTTTTTTTCGAAAATTTTATTTTTTCGAGATTCACACCTCAACAAGAGGGCGGAAAGAAATAAAGAAAAGCTTAATCGAAAGAGTGGTCAATTTCTGCCGCTCTTTTTTTGTTCACACAAAACGCGGCATGAATTACGGGCACATGGAAGGAGAATAAAGAAAAAAAAAGAAATTGAATTAAAAATAAAAAAAGAGTATTTTTATGAAGAAGATGGATCTAAGGGGGAGTAATTGAAGAGAAAAGTAGCATAATTTTTCTATTTGTTTTTATTAATCTCCTTTATTCCTTTTTTAATCTTAAATTCTCGATATTTCGTTACAAAAGATTTTCTGTACTTAATGAAAAATTACGATCTTTCTCTTTATTTTTAATCATTTCACAAAAATTCTTAATAAAAATTCATACAGACCAAGAAAATCGTATCTACTCAGTTATTCTAAGGAATCTTACTAGCCGGTGGGGCATTAATAAATACCGTATTATCTCTAATAGAATGCCCGGGCATTCTATTTTTCAATCACCTTCCATAGGGTCATTCTATTGGAGGGGGGCATTCAAATGGAGAGAGGCATTCTAATAGAGATAATACGGTATTCTAGCCTAAAGAGAAAAAAGCAAAAAAAAGAAGAGAAAAAGATACCTAAGTCACAAATTAAAAAAAAGTTATCTTAAGATTTAATCTAGTAATCTAAACTTCTTATTTAAATATAAACCAATTTCGCAATAAACATTAATTAATGACCCCAAAAATGTTCACTTTAAAAACAAAACCTTACCAAACAAAACAAATGCAAAACAAAACAAAACAAAATGTTTAGAAAACAATGTTTGGGGATGAAGATAAAAACTTTAATCCAAACACCCCTCAACATTTAGGAAAACTTAGTTTTTCCAAACAAAATTGGAGAAAAAGAAAAAAATTAAACAAAACATCTAAAAACACTAACATTAATTAAATAAAAATAAAAACATCTGTCAAAACATAAACAAACAACCAACAAAACATAAAATTAAATAAACTTGATGTTTGGAATAATAGTTCCGTCTGATTAAAGTTTACAAACTTAAAAATAAAATGTTTTTTTACAATTCCGAACATTTATTTTACAACATGCAAAACAAACAAACAAACAAACAAACATGCTAAACAAAACAAATTAAAATAAACAAATAAATGTTTGGAAGAGGAAAATAAAAACAACCAGGAATCCAAACACACAAACATCCCTCCCCACAACAAACATCCCAAACAAACATCCCTCAAATTTAAACAAAACATTAATTTTTATTTTTTCAAATAAAAATTTTTAAATTAAAAACACTAACAATTTGATCATTTTTATTTTACGCTTCAAAAGAGTTGGTTTTAGTTAACCATATAATTTTACGCAATTTTAAGAAAATAACAAATTATCCTTAAACTTTATAAAAAATATTTTTATAAAATAATTGCCCTCACTCAAAATATTCTCTCTACATATTTTTATTATCTTGTGTGGTAACTTCCGTTTTACATTTAAAACTTTAATCGGAAAAATAATTAAAAGTTTTACAATTTATAATAATGCTTAGTTGTTCTCTTACATACTACATATTAAAAATAAACTTGAGCATATTGTAGAAAATTAAAACTTGATTATAAAACAAGTTTATTTATATACTCAAGAATTGTAAAAACATTTTCAAGTTTGTAAAACAGGCGGGAATATCTTATTTTACTAAAAACAGGCGGAATTATTAGTTTTACAAACTTGAAAATAAAACGCTCTCAAATAAACAAGTTTTACAATCAAGTTTTGTTTTTATTTTCTACAATATGCTCAAGTTTATTTTATAGTAAGAGAGCAACTTATTATTACAAATTGTAAAACAGGCGGAAATATTAATTTGTTTTATTTTGAATACTCTTCAATTTATTTTAAGTTTACAAACTTGTAGTTTACAATTACCACTTTTTCCCCATAAACATATTTAAGTAGGTATATTAAACAAGGAAGGGTTACTGTAGAGAAAAGTTATTCTTTCTTGTTTTCACCCAATCAGTAAATAGTAGATTTTACAAAAAAAAGAACTTAAAAAGTGACGAGTTATAGATTAATCTAAAAAATAACAAAAAATATTTTCTTTAAAAAGAATGCGTCATTGAAAGGGAAAGTGAAGCAAAACAAAAAATGGCAAGGGAAAGTTATTTTAACAACAAAAACACTTTTTATTTCCTTTTAATTTAAAAAAGCTTCTCTTTTCTAATGCTTTTAGTACAAATTTTCACTTTCATCTTTAAATTTTTGACATTTTTAAACAAAAAAAAAGCATTTTTTAAAAAGCTAACTATGTAAATATGAATCATTAGCCATTTTTGTAAGGTTTGAACAGAAAATAAACTTAAATTACAAAATAAACTTTTTATTTGTAATTGTAAAACAGGCGGAATAAATATATGAAAAGAAAATAAAAAAATTTAAAAAGACTTCCGGAATTTTCCGGAAATATTTTACAATTGTAATAAAGTCTGCAATAAAACTTTAAGTTTATTATTTGAAAAACAGGCGGAAATATTAATTTGTAAAATAATAACAAACTTTTTTTTTATTTCCGCCTGTTTTACAATTAAATTTTAAGTTTTACAATTACAAATATATTTTACAATCTTATAATCTTAATTTTTTGTTAACAGATTAAAGGGAAAATATTTTTTTATAAAATTTTCCTTCATCCAAAAATCTCTCCTTTTTATTAAACAATTTGTCTATTTACTAATTCCGGTCATTTAAAAAGAAAAATGGGAAAATATTCAATATTTCATTTAAAAAAAGAGAAAGAAAATTAATTGCTAAAAACATACAAATATTAGCTTTGTCTATTTTTTTTGAAAATATTTTTGCGCTTTTCGCAACAATTTAAAGAAAAAATATTTTTTATAAAAAAATAAAAATAATCTTCCCAAGTTTCCGCCGGTCATTTATTTTCTTTTAAAAAAGAGATTTAATTAATTACAAGGATATGTGAAAACTGTAAAAAGACTTTTAGTTTTCCGGAAACATTTTACAATTTTAAAAGTTATTAAAATAAACATGTTTATAGTAATTAATTTAAATGTTTTGATGAATGTTTTTTATTTGATGTTTTGGTAAATGTTTAGTGTTTTGTTTGTTAGATGTTTGTTTGTATGGTTTGTCTATGTATATGTTTTGTTTGTTTTTGTGAATGTTTTCATAATTTTAGTTTAGATGTTTTGTTTAAAGATTTTTAATAAATGTTAAAACATGGTAAGGTGTTTTAGATGTTTAATAATGTTTTTAAGCATTTTTAGAAAAACATTGTTTTTTAGAGTAAAATAAAATATTCGATGAACATGTTTTAATGTTTGTTTGATGTTTTTATGTTTATTAGATAGCAATGAAGTGATGTTTTTAGGATTAAATTAGATATATTTATTTAAACTGTATCATGTTTTACTAGATGTTTTATCATTTTTATAAATAGATGTTTTCAAAGAAATAAAAACGAATATAAAAACCCACTTTTCTCAGCAGCCAAAGAGCGAATGTCCGTTCCGCCAATTGTTTGTTGTTGTTGCTGAGATAAATCACTGGTAGAAGCTGTTGGCAAACCATTTGTGTGCCCTAGAGCTATAGCAGAAAGTAAATTAAACCAAAGTTGTTGTTGATGATTGTCAATTTGGGGAGGATTTGGTTGGTGTTGGAATGGATGGTGTAGCCGGGGGCTGTGACGGTGTTGTTGTTGGGATTGCTGCATTTGTTGTTGTTGACGTTGGAAGAGTAGATTTTGTTGTTGAAGTTGCTGAATAATAAGTAAATGTCAAAATGTCAACTATTCAGCTTTTTTCGAAATTTCGAAAGTCTCTTCGAAATTATTTTTTAATTTCGAAAATTAATAAAAAATTTTTAAGAACAAAAAAATTCAAAAAATTCTTCTCTCCTTTTAATTATTTAAAACACAGACTTGTAATGATGAAAATTGATGTGGTGGTGGTGGTAAAATTGTGTTACTACCAAAGAGACCGCCTCCATTTCCGTCCCCATTTAAATATTGTTGTTGTTGTCCAGTTATTGGAGAAGCGACAAACTCACTTCTATTTGTGCCGGAAGTTGAAGAAGAAATGGGGAATAAACGATTTTGGGGAGTAGAGGAAGAAACAAAGGCTGAAGAAGAAGACGCGGAAGAGGTGGAGGATGAAGAGGGGATCATTGTAGGGGGAAACAATAGTTGCGGGAAGAAGCCTATAAAATTGTTAATAAAGTGATTTGGAAGCATTTGAAAATTTTTAAATGTAAAGGGAACATTGGGTAGAGTGAAAGGAACATTCTGTAGGGAACACTCAAGTAGTAGGGTGAAGGGAACACTTACCTTAGTAGGGTAAAGGGAACACAAAACCTTTTGATTTAATAATTTTTTACGAAGCATTTTGACATAAAAACCCACTATGTAAGGTACTATTACCAGTAGAACAAGTTGCTGCCGTTTCCAAGGGTGAAGACCCGGAAGACATATTTGCTTTCACAGATTGTCCATTATTATTGCCTTGTGGAAACATTAATGAAGGAGATAAGGGAGAATTTAAATTATTATTATTATTTTGATGTTGAGCATCCAACTGGGAAGGTTTTGTAGTTGTGCTTATATTGCTCATTGAAATTTATAAAAAATATTTTTTGCTTAAGTTAAATGGATTTTTGAAATTGAAATTGTTGGTAAATAACAGATAATGTAAATTTCAACTTTAGGGGTAATGCGAAGGGAACATTCAAGTATAGTGAAGGGAACCGACAGAATATCAAGTAGTTTAGGCTTCCTCTAGCTTCAAAAAATTTTTTAAATTAATTTCTGTTGCTTTCCAAACTTATAGGATTATACTCTATTTTAGTGTACCAATAAAATTTTAAAAAATTTTCCAAGGGCCTCAAAATAAAAGGAAAAAATTTTTGGGATAAATTTTTTTTATTTTTTAAAATTAAATTCAATTTTAAATGGCAACAATAAAATCCATTTATTTTTTTCACTTATTCAGTCATCGGATTAAAAAAAAGAAAAGTCAATAGCAGAACCAATTTTTTATTTGTTAAATAAGTAATAAATCTAACATGTCTGGGACAATTAGGTGTGGGAATAGAGGATGCTTCTTTTTTTATAAAAATTTTTTGTGAATGAAACAAAGTCATAAGTTAATCAAAAACCTAATTAAAAAATTATTTTATAGGAAAAATATATAAAAAACAAAAAATTGGGAATTGCCACATAGGTGTATAAACCGGGAACGGGCACCAGCCGACTTTGATCGGCTATAACTTTTTTGAGCGTTTCCCAATCCGAACGATCTTTTATCATTCGAAAGCTCTCAATAAGTGCTATCTTTTTTCCAACTGGATGGATCAAGTCTAATCGCCTACTAAAAAGTTACCACTCAATAAATGTGAAAAACACCAAATAATTACACTTATTGGGCTATAACATTTTAAAGACTGATCAGACATGATCCATTCAGTTGGAGAAAAGATAGCGCCTATCCAGAGCTTTCGAATGATATAAAATTTACTCAGATTGGATCAGGGCTAAAAAAGTTATAGTCGATCAAAGTCGGCTTGCTCTCAATCGTCACCTAGGTGTATAAACCCCATCTTTTTGGTACTTTTAACATTAAATATTGGGGCTATTTTTGAGTTTATCGCGCAAAAAAAGCCAAAAAATATATGTCTAAAAAAGACAAAAATAAAAGATGACTATAGCGGTGGCCTTAAATAGTTTAGAATATAAATACTAACTAAATATTTTTTGTTGTTGACCAAGCAGGAAAAAGATCAAAAAGCCGCAAATTGGTTAAAATGTATTTATTATTAAAAGGGGAGGGAGAAGGGGGGGGGGGGAGGGAGGGGAAGGAGGAGAATGAGAAGAATAAAAGGGGGGATTATTTTGGGAGGAGAGGGGAAGAGTTATTTTTTAATAAAGTTGGTCCTATAAGATACTGGGTATCTTAAAGGGAGATACTGGGTATCTTAAAGGGAGGAGCTTTATGTTGTTAAGGCTAGAAGTAAGTCTTAAATTGGGGGTATTGATAGGACTCTTCTTCCGCACAGTGACCAGCTAATTTAAAAGAAAGGTGTCTTAAATAGAGGTGGATTTGGGATTATCTTATGTTGAGGCTAAAAGTATGTATCTCTTATAAGGATCTCTTAAGTAGAGTGCATTGCTTAGACATCATGGTCAGGGCACGTCTCATTGTCCGATCAAATTCAAGAAAGAGCATAATTAGTATTGGAGGTATCCTTTAGGAGGCTAAACTGTAATAGCCTTTTTTAGTTACTATTACTTCAATCTCCTCTCCCTTTTATTAAAAAAAGTCTGATTTTAGCCTATTTTTAAGGCAAACATTAAAAATAACAAACAAAACATTTTGTTTAGCTAAGAATAAAGTGTCTAATAAAGTTAATCAAAAATAGGTGTTTGTTGGTAAAATAGTGGAGAAAAAAAGTTTGCTTTAACTAACTAAATAAATAAGACAAGAAAAATAACTGTCCTTTCGCAACAAACACTCTAAGGTGTATAGTAGAGTGATTAAAAGACTTTATTATTATACTTGACTCTCTTTTTTAAGAAAATTAAATAGGTGTTTATACGAACATAAGAGAGTAATAAAATAAAATAAATAAACTTTTTTACATGTAAAAAAGAGCGGCTGCAACATTTGAGAACACGACATTTGTGAATAGCTGGCATTAAATTGAGTAGAAAATCAGTGATAAAAGGGATGAACAGAAGGATTATTTGTTTTCATAAAAACAAGCTAGTAATTAACCATAAAATGAAATGAAGTTTCAACAAAATTGAGACAAAAAAGTAAAATTATGTTTTAAAAACAAAGGAAATTGGCCGGAAATATATATTAGTGGCCATACAACTTTTCCAAAGATTGACTGCTTTTAATAATTTTTTATTTTAACATAAGCCTATTTTTAAGCTTAATTTTTTAAAATTAAAAATGCCTTTTTTTATTTAGTCCAAAAAAAGTTATCGTCAATATTCTCAGATGTCGTGTGTTCTCAAATGTCGTATAACCGTAAAAAAGAGCAACATAACCTGTTAAAAATGGGGCTGTCTCTAAAATAAACTTGGAAGAGAGAGAATAAAATAAACTTGAAAAAGTTTATTTCTTCTATTAAATAGATGTAGTGTCTATGAAAAATAAACTTGGAATAAAATAAATGTTAGACATTAAAAATAAACCTTTTTTTCTCTTTCTTTTTACTTAAAAAATGCTCGATTAAATAAAAGGTGTGAATAATTACTGAAAGGTATTTTTGCCAGTCATTTACTCAAACAAATGAAAGGGCAAAGTTGTGTTGTTTTTGTTGGATGATTAGAGGAGGGGTGATGACTAGCAGAAGCAAGTAAATGACTTTATTACTATTAACAAGGTTTTAAAAAGAATTATTTAGTAAAGGAGAGAAATGTTGAAACAGGCGGATTTAATTACTAATATAAAACAAGCTTATTTATGTATATTGCAACCTTTTTTGAAAAGGTGAAGCAGGCGGATTTATAAATTACAAATAAAATTACAATTTGTAAAATATTACAAATGCAACCTTCTTTTAATAAGTTGAAGCAGGCGGATTTAAAATCACAAATAAAATTACAATTTGTAATAAAATATTACAATTGCAACTTTTTTCTAATAAAATGAAGCAGGCGGATTTAAAAATTACAATTTGTAAAATATTACAAATTCAACCTTTTTTTAATAAGTTGAAGCAGGCGAGTTTAAGTTGAAGCAGGCGGATTTTTACAAATAAAATTACAATTTGTAAAATATTACAAATGCAACCTTTTCCCAATAAAATGAAGCAGGCGGATTTAAAATATAATTTACAGAAATACAATTTGTAAAATAGCACAGATACAACCGTGAAACAAGCTGATGTAAAAATTACAATTTATAATAAACTTTACAATTTGTAATTTTACAAGCTAATTAATGCTCTAAAAATAGACTAGTATATTTAAATGACTAGCAGGAATGTAAGAGGGAAAGGTTAAGTTTGTTGTTGCTGCATAATGACTGACTAATTAAAGAATTAGCTTAAAGTTTATAAATAAAAAAGAAAAATATGCAGCATTTAAAGTCTTCATATAGAGGTGACTAAACTAAAAAAATATTTTCTTTAAAATTTTTAAAAATTTTTAATAAAATTTCTAGTAGAATTTATATACACTTTTCAAAGAAACTAAAAAATAAAATTTTAATTAACTGACAAAGCTTGATTGAGAAAATGAAAACTTTCCTTCTCTCATTAATTTTCTTGTCAGTCCAAGAAATAATTTAGTGGGGGACTAAAAAAGTATTTTTTTAAGAGAATAGAAGGGTTGGAAGCAAAAAACAAATAGAGAAAATATATTTTGTTGGATAATTAATGACAGAAAATTTATTATTTTTTTAAGTAATATTTATTTATTGAGGGGGAAAAAGATAAAAAATAATTAGAAATAAAGAAAAAAATTTTAAGAAGAAAAAAATTTTTTAAATAAATATTTGTGTGTTAATATTTTATTTTTTAAGGGTAATATTAATTAATTTAAGCAATTTATCATTAAAACTTGAAGCAAGAAAAAAATAAACTTGAAGAAAATAAACTTGAAACAGGCTGAATTTAAATAAAATAAATATTGTTAAGCGTAACGAAACGAACAAGTTGGAAAAAGAAAAAATTACAATTTGTAAAAACTTAAAAATAAACTTGAAAAAAAAATAAACTTGGGAAATTTAAAGTTTGTTTAATTAATATTCTGAACCAGGCGGATTAAAAAAAATAAATAATGAAAGTGAAGCAGGCGGAATTTTAATTAATTATATTAATGTATGTTAAATATAACTAAATTACAATTTGTAAAACTTAAAAAAGAAACTTGAAAAAAAATTAAAGTTTATTCAACTAATATTTCTGAAGCAGGCGGATTTTAATTAATTGCACTATACAAATTAAACAAAACTACAACTTAACAACCTTTTAGAGAGAAAAAATTTTTTTCAAGATAAAAAAATTAAAATTGTGTTAGGCTAAGAATTTTTATTTTCTTTCAATAAAACGTCAAAAAAGTACTAATTTTTTTAAAATAAAAATAACTACAAAATATAAGGAAAAAATGTGATTGCATTTTATATAAATTGAAAACGGAAAAGAATAAGCAAATAAGAAAATGAAAAAAAATAACTTAAATAAAAGACCAAAGAAAATCAACAAAAAAGTGTTAAATTGAAAAGGAAGAGGAGATAATACTTTTTTATTTAAAAGAAATGAATGGAAATAAAATTTAATAAAGAATTGTAATTATAATTGTGGAAAAAATAAAACTTGAAGTCATTGATTATTAAAACTTGTCATGTTTTAAAGTTTTACAAATCAAAGAAAAATAGGGTTTACAATTTGTAAAACAGGCGGATTTTAATATTAAAGAAATTGATCTTAAAACTTGACAAGTTTCTAAGTTTTACAATCTTACTTTTCAGATATTATATTAAAACTTGTTTTTACAATTTGTAAAAAAAGTAGGCAGATTTTAATAGAAATATTACTAGTTAAATAAACTTGAAGCAGGCGGATTTATAATATATTAGGTAGGTATTATTATATGTAAAAGCAGCTTTGTAGTTTAACATAAAAACAGGCGGATTTAAGTAGAAACATACCAACTTAATAAAATATGAAGCAGGCTAATTTAATTAAATTATATTAAAAATTTAAATTAATTAAGAAGCAGGCGGATTAAAATACCCAAATATATGTTTGTGTTTTTCCTTCCCAATAATAACTTATAGAAGTTTACAAAAAATAAAATATTTAAACGAACATACATATAAAACAAGTCTTTAATTATTTTAGACACAGATTGTCTTCTTAAATATAATTTATTATGATAAATATATTATAGAAACTGTGAAGAAAAAATGATTAATATTTAAGAGAATTGTTTGCGCGAAGAGTTGATTAGTTAGAGGAGAGAGAATGTTTGTTTTGTTGCGATAAGTGTTCCTTTTTTAAAATAAATTAATAGCCTTAGGCATTTTAGCTAAAATAAATGGGTATCGGATGTGTAAGGGATTAAATTAATTTATATTTGTATTAAATTTATTTAAATTATTTATTAATTTACTGTCTAGATTACAAGCTTTAATTGCTTTTGAAAATAGGCCTGTTAAAGTTGTAAACTTGATTGTAAAACAAGTTGTAATTTTTAAATTGTAAAATAGGCTGTAATTTACAACTTGAAAAAATGATAAGTTTACAATTGTAAAAAAAGTTTCTAATTTTAAATAAAAAGGTTGGAATTGTAAATTGTAAAAGGCTACAATAAATTCTAAAAAAGGTTTAGCATTTAAAATAAGGAGAGAAAAAAATCGTGCGCGATTTTCTCTCTCCTTTTTCCATTATCCCTACGTCGCAGAACGCTCGCAATTTTTATGTAAGCGTAGCTTAAGATATTGAAAATCAAAATGTAATTTCATATTGTAAAAAAAGGTTTTCAGGACATTTCCAACTAATTAACCTTCTTAATATTCAATTTTAAATGTTCACCTAATTTAAAAATAAAATTAAAATTAAATAGATAATAATCACATCACTTTTTACCATCAAAACACAAAACTAGATTTAGCGTTTATTTTCTTTAATTTTTTTAATTGTTCGAGAATGTAATGATGATATGCTTTTTTTGGTTATTTTTGACTGAGAGATAAATTAAAAATTAAATTAAAAAAGGAAAGGAAATTGACATGATAAAAGTACAAAGACTAAAAATTAAAATTTAATTATTATTAAAAGTACAAATGTATGTATAAAATAATTAGAGTTTGTAATTTTAAGTAAGTGTTTCAAGTTTATTTTTTAGAAATTAATAGTTGTAAAATAAACTTAAAAACTTGTTTTACAATCCAAATTTACAGCATGTTTTCGTTTTTAAATTTACAATTTAATAAACAAAACTTGTTTTGATGTAAGCCATATTTCAGTAGATTGAAAACAAAACAAGTTTTGTTTATTAAATTGTAAATTTAAAAACAAAAACATGCTGTAAATTTGAATTGTAAAACAAGTTTTTAAGTTTAAATAAAAAAAGGTTGTAATTTTTAATTGTAAAAAAGTTTGAATTGTAAACTTGAAAAATTTGAGTACAACTTGAATTGTAATCACAAATTAAATACAATTAAATATATATTAATAAAGTACAAATTTAGGCAATTTATTATGTTTTTTTAAATAAATTAAATTCAAGTTTTGGAGGAATGTGTGTTTTGAAAAGGTTAAGAATAACCTTTTTTAATATTTTATTAATTTCTAAAAAAATTAAACATGCGCAGAAAAATAAAGAAAAAAAAAGAAAAATGATTTTTAAATTAAAATTAATTAAATAATATTTAGATGATGTCAATTTTAAAATAAATGGCTTTAAAAAAATTAATAGGGCAAATGGGAAAAATAAAATTAATTTTATTAAAAATATAATTAAAGAGAAGGGAAGGTTTTTAATAATTTAATAAAAAATAAAATATTAAGGTTGGTAAATTAATTAAAATTAATTATCCAATAATTGGGAAAAAAATAAAATAAGTGTTAATTTAATATGAAAATACGCCTGCTTCATAATAAATATTCCTCTAATTTAATAAATTTAATTCCGCCTGTTTTACAAATTGTAAATATTAAGTTTACAATTTTAATAAACAAAAATCCGCCTGTTTAATAAACAAAAGGAAACATTACCAAAGGGAAGGGGACATTTATCCGTAAAAACAACTATCCGACTATTTACCCTATGGAATCGAAAAACAAAAAATTGATAAAAATAAAAGGAAAAAGGTTTTAATAAGCTCCTCTTTTAACGAAAAAAGAAGCTCCTTTAAGATAAACCAAAAAATGATGAATGAGTGAACGAGTGAGAAAAGAGGGCGGTTCTTTTATGAAAAAAGTATAGAAAATTGGGTGGAGTTTAAAAACTCTTTTTTATTAAAGTTATTGTGTGTGAGTGAGTGAATAAGTGAGTAAAAAAAGAGGAAAAATCATAAAAGGAAAAAAGGAGGAGGAATTTTGTTTTATTGGCTACTGAATGGTGAAAAGTGTTTGGAAAGGGGGTATTTGGGCGTAGAAACACTAAGGCGCGGAGTTGTGTAATTTTGTCTAGGGTGTACCTAGAGAGGTGAAATTTTGCAGAAATATTACTTTTCGTGTTATCTAGGTTCTCTAAAAATTTCAGAATTTTTGGTTTAGTTTTTAAAAGTTGTGGTCTAAAATATCGATAGATATATAGAAAATTCATACATTTTAGATCATAACTTGTGAAATAATTGACCGAAAATTCTGATATTTTCAGCAGAGTTGGAAAAACTATTAAGGATATATGTGGAAAATTTTACGTGTATAGGGTTACACTTGATAATTTTAATTTTATAATTAAGCGCGCATCAAACTCTTACAGCGCCAGAACGTCTTGACAATTATAAAGTGCTTAACTATTTGCTTTGGAAAGGCGTGGTTTGTTTATACAAAACTATAAAATAAATAAAAATAAAAATAAATTTTATGAGGAATTTATTTAGAGAATTTAGAAAAAATAAAGAAGACAAAATGCTTGAGGAAGGAAAAAAAACCTAAAAATGAGGAGCATCTCTCCCCAAAAACACACAAACATCTAAACAAGTGAAGCAAACAAAGAATAAAAGAAAAACATGAACAAATGGGGGCAATGAATAAAAAGAAGAAAAGAGAAGCAGTTAAAAATAAATAAATAAGCCTTTTCAAGAATTGTAAAACTTTTTTTCCAACTTTTCTCCCCCAACTTTTCTCCCCAAAACTTTTTTCCAACTTTTTCTTAAAACTTTTTTTCGTCTCTCTCTCCTTTTCTTCTTCTCTCTCTTTTGTACTTTCCGGATCGTTGCTTCTTCCGTTTTTTCTATTACCCCTAAAAATTCCTTTTTAATGCGCCACCCATTATTCACCCTTTTTTAACCACCTCTTAACTAAAACTCCCTCATCCTTTTCACATTTTTGTATTTTTATAAAAACTTTTTTTCTTCTTCCTTTGACTGCTACTATTTCATTGTATTCATTCTTTTATTTAGAATGGCATGAAAAGAGTGAGTGATGATCTTTTTTTAAAATAATTTTCTTTAAAGGAAGAGTGTTTGAGAGGGAGTTGTGAATGAACCAGGAAACGGGAAATTGGGGGTACCGTAGTTTGTTTAACACTTAGATTTCGAAATTCGAGCTAACCGGATTTCGGGCTAACAGGAAGTAACAGGAAGTAATGGGACATGGTCTAAATGGAAAGTTAATGCTCATCTACAGGACGTAATGCCTAAATTTTTTTCTGTCTATTGAAATGAAAGGAGTAGACATTTCTAAACATAAAATTAAAGAGAAAAAGAAGTTCAAGCAGTACATGAACTTGTTCATCTACAAAATGTACTGTTTGAACATCTTTCTGCCTATTGAAAGGGCATGATTGTACAACCTCAAGGGGAAAATCAAAAAGAAAGGCTCAAGTTCAAGCAGTACATGCAAACATGTTCATCTACATATACTGCTTGGACTTTACGAGTATATCGAACTATAGTGGTTCTGGATTAATGCAGGTATATACATATAACCTCAAACAATTTTCCCTCAAAAATTTATTGAAGGTATAAATTTAATAGAATAAAGAAAAGAGAGAACAACAACATTATTCGCGCAAACATTTCCCCCTTTAAACCACCCAACAAACAAAAAATTCAATCCTTTAAGTCAACAATAAAAAAAAGTATGTAATAGTAGTAAATGCGTATATATAAATAAATTTAATTGCTATTAGAAGGAAGAGCTAATTTAAAAAAAAAGTTTATTTATTTTTATAGCAAACAACAAAAAACATTTTTATTTATTTATGATGACACCAAGTAGCACTGTACTACAGAAAATGTCCTTTAAAAATGGTGGGGGGGGGGGGTTTCTTCCCGATTTTTACAATTTTTCTTTAAAATTGATATTAACCCTCAAAAATGTTTATATAATCTAGAGAATGGTAGAATTAGATGTTTAAATGTCCAAGAGGTAAATTACAAAAAACACAAGTTCAAGCAGTACTTGGATTGTTCATCTACAGGGTGTACTGCTTGAACTTGACGAGTATAATACAAGTGAACCTCACTATAGCTTACCCTCTTAAGGCTGAAAAAGAGTGTCTTATAATGAGGATAAATTAAATAGAAGGTATGGCTTAGACATAACTTCCTTGCCTAGTTGGTGAACAACCAAATTTAAGAATGTATATTAAACTGAGGTTTATCTAAAAAAATTTCTGTATCCTAAAATGAGGGCCCAACTGTATCTGCATTATCGAAGAATATAGGATGACCCATAAAACAATCTATGAGATAATAATCAAAATTTTAAGTTCAAGAGTATAGGCAGTCAATGAACATGTTTAGAGTTGAGATTGTGGTCATTTACTGGTTAAGGTTGTGAGAATGTTTAAATAAATTAATAAAAAACCATTTAATGATATTATGGGTAAAAAATAATTTCCTTTTTTATTAAAAAAGTGTAAAAATGCTTCAAAATCAGTCAGTCCAAAAATACAGTAATAAATGTAAAAATGATGTGAGTGAATAGTGAAAAAAGGTAAGAAAATTGAAAAAATTTAAGGAAAAGTATGACTATGCATGAAAGGTTTATCATTAAAAAAAAGAATTTATTGAATTTTAAAAAAATTTTAATTTTGAGGATGTGAAGAAAAATGAAGGAAGAAAGGGCGCTTACCAATCTGAGTTCTTTTAAAGTAATATAAAAAGGTTTAGACATTTTTGGAATAATTAAGAATAATAAATTGAGAGAATTATTGGTAAAAAGTAGAGACCGGACTTGAGTGATCAATCGATAATATCGGTATCGTTTATCGATAATATCGACATCAATATATCGATATTTTTTATCGATGTACCGGTCCGGTATCGGTCTATATATCGGTCTAGTATAAAGAGTTAAAATATTACCTTAAATAAAAAAAACATTTATTCACAGAGTTCAAGCAGTATAAGAAAATGATCTACTTGAATGTTTTTGTACTGCTTGAACTTATTGATCAAGAAAGTGTGTTCAATTGGGATTTACAATGCTTGAACAAATGTTTAAAGTGTCTGGATTAAAAATACAAATAAACAAAAAGTTGAAGCAGTACAAGTAGATGAACAAGTAAATGTATTTGTACAGCTGAAGAACATTTAAAAAATGCATTTTTTAAAGAGTTTGCACATTAAAAAAGCAAATAAATAACTAGTTCAAGCAGTACATTTACGTGTTCAGCTACTTGTACTGCTTGAACTTGTGTTTAAAGTCATTTAATTTTGTTAGTTTTTGCTTAAATGGCATTAAGGCGATTTTTAGTAAATTCAGGAATATAATGGGCAAATATAGAAAAGAAATAAATTGATGGATTGATGGGTGTATAGATAGATGGTCGTCACGGATGTAGTTTTTACTAAGTGAGGGAAAATAAAAGTAGAAAAAAAGGTAAATCGCTTTACAAACAAAAATGAGCTCACAGCAGTAAAGCATCCTTAGTTTTTTTACTTCTCTCAATTTTGTATGGGAAAGGACAAAAAACTAAAAAATGTTTTTTTAGTCCTTAAATGGAGGTTTTAAAAAATGAAGTTGGTTTAGGAGGAATATTGAGGGAAAATAAAATAATATTAAATTGTAATTTTAAATTGTTGTTTTTACTAGGTTTTAAAATAAAGAATTATGAAGAGAAAGAGGATTTTTACAAACAATTGTAAAATAAAAACAAATATGGGAAACAAGTTGTAAAACAAGTTGAAAAAAAGTTGAAAAAAAAAGTTGGAAACAAGAAAAATATATAAAACATGTTTTACAACAAGTTTTATTTAAACATGTTTTACAAACATTTGCAAAATAAAAACAAATAAGAGAAGTAAGTTGTAAAACAAGTTGGAAAACATTGAAAATATATAAACTTGTTTTAGAAACAAGTTTTACAACTAGAAAGACAGGAAAAATCTCAAAAACATGTTGTTCAAAACATTATTAATGTTTTTATGATGTTGAACTTGTTTTTAAGATGTTTTAATTCTTTTTGATTAATAAACTTAAGTACTTAAAACAATGTTTTGAAAATATTTATGCTCAACTTAATGTTTTAAATATTCTGGTATGTTTATATTTATGTTTTAATATTCAAGTTGTATATTATATAAAAACAAAAGGTTTATTTCTGACATTTTTATGTATTCAAAGCTTCTAACAAAATTTGAATTTGAATAGGCTCTGATCGTTATTTTATTTTTTAGAAGGTAAAAGAAAGGTTAAGTGCGTGCGAATGCTGGCTAATATTTTAAGAATAAATAAAAGTGAAAGGGAAAATTTTTTTATATTTTTTACTTGGAGGGGGCTGTGGATTTTTCTTCATTCTTATTCAAATTGCCCGATTATAGGTTGTAAAAACAAAAAAAACTAAAGAATATTTTTAGGTAGTTGAATAGTTAATAGAAAATATTTTTTTTGATTTTTTGTTGAAATTAAAGTGTATATCGCTAATAAATAAATTTGGAATGCAACATATTTAAAGGGGAGGTTTGTTGGTAAATTGATCACAGACATTCAATTAACTGGGTAATTTTGGGAGAGAAAAACTTCCTGCTGTGAAAACTATTTTCTTGAATGTTTAGGTCAAGAAACTTGACAAGAATAAAAATTAGTAAAACATAATAATAATTAAAACTTGAAACATTTATTTATAAAACATTTATAAAATATGTTTTGTTTAAATTATGCAATAAAAATATAGTAAGTAAATGTTTGGATAAAATAGAATATTTCTTTGATGTTTTGCAATGTTTAGTTTATTTGTTTTGTAAAAAGTTGGAATAATAAAAAAGGTTGCAAAAACAAGTTGGAAAATTAAAAAAAGTTGGAAAAAAAATGTTGGAAACAAAGTTGGAAAAATTAAATGTTTTTCCAACTTTTTTTACAACAAACTTTTAAAACTTGTTTTACAAAGAAAAGTTGAGAAACAAAGTTTGTGTTGTAAAACAAGTTGGAAAACATAGATAAAGTTTGAAATAAAGTTGGGAAAGGCAAAACAAGGCATAAACAAATATAAATGTTTTTACAATTATAGAAGGAAAACGAATCAAAACAAACAAAATATAAGGCAAGTTTTCAAGTTTGTAAACTTAAAAATATATTATAAACTTTATTAATAAAATTCTATAAATATTTTAAGAACTCGTCAAGTTTGTTGTTAAGGTTGAACTTGAATTAGATGTAGAAGCAACTTCTGTTGATCTACTAAAATTTAAGTGTGCATAAATTAAAACGCCAATATCTCTATAATGATTTTCGACGGCTATAGAAAGTGCTGTTTGGTTGTCCTTTAAGAGAAAATTTTTTTTGATTAATTTGTTTCAGGTTTACGCAGTCATTAAGTGAAGCATCTATATTTGGCTGTTTTAACAAAATTTTAACAATTTCTTTTTGTCCATGTTCTGCAGCACACATTAACGCTGTGGAACCGTCTACATCCTTAAAATATTTTAATTTTATTTTTGAAATTTGTTAAAAACACTCTACTTGAATGTTAACATCAGCACCACATTTAAGCAATAAATTTGTTGCTTCAATACGTCCATGCGAAGCAGCTAACATTAAGGCGGTTTGAGCATGCTTAAGGACAATGAAAAATTTTTAAACATTATTTTGATTTTATAAAGTTAAAAAATTATTTAAAGTAAAAAACACATGTTCAAGCAGTACAAGTAGATGAACATCGTCATGTACTGCTTGAACTTGAGGTAATTATTTTTTGTTTATTTCTTGAAAAATTAAAAAACAGAAGTTAAAGCAGTACATGAACATGTTCACCTACTTTTACTGCTTGAACTTGACGTAATTTATTGAAAAATCGAAAGGGCATCAAGACACCTTAACAGCTTTAGCATTAACATTTCCCATATGAAACAATCTCTGCATAATAGCAGACTCTGTTTCATTCCTCAATTCACACAAAGCACCCAACATTAAAGTTGAATAGCCAGCAGTGTTCATTTGATCAATTCGACAAACTTTGGAGTCAAGAAGGACAGAGATTACATCAAAATTTTCATTGGAGACAGCATAATGTAGAGCTGTATTTCCGTTTTGGTCTGTCATGTTAATTACCTAAAATTGGAGAAAATGGTGGTCAACAAATATTCCTCATTACCGTATCCATTAATTGTGTAGAGTAAGACTCGAGGGCATCGATAAATTGTTCGACAGCCTCGGCATTCGTGTTCTTTTTTGTTGCCATCTTAAGCCATTCATGTTGTGCATACTTAAAAATTATATATATATATAATTATAAATAAAAATAAACTTTTTAGTTAAACATGTTTTATTTGGATAAAAACATTTTAATTTAAACATGTTTATTAAATGATAGAATTAAATTTTAAAAACATGTTCATTTAAAAGTTCTTTTTAAAACATGTTTCTCAAACATGTTTTTATTAAGTAGATGAGAAACATTTTCATTTAAACATATTTATTTAACTGCAAGAATGTTTATCAAAACAAGTTTATTATTTTAAAACATTCCCATTTAAACAAGTTTATTAATTGTAAAACATGCTTATTTAAAAAAGTTTTTTAAAACATGTTTCTCTAAGCATGTTTTTATTAGATGATAAACATTCTCATTTAAACATGTTTATTAAATTTCAAAAATGTGTTTATCAAAACAAGTTTATTATTTTAAAAACACTCTTATTTGAACATGTTTATTAAATTGTAAAAACATGTTCATTTAAAAAAGTTCTTTTTAAAACATGTTTCTCTAAATATGTTTTTATCTGATGAAAAACATGTTCATTTAAACATGTTTATTAAATCGCAAAAATGTTTACCAAAACAAGTTTATTATTCTAAAAACACCCCCATTCGAACATGTTTATTAAATTTTAAAAACATGCTCACTTTATAAGCCCATTCAAGTTGATTGTTTTTTGGGTGTTGTTCTTGTTGTTGTTTTTCACTTTTCTCCCCCATTTTTAATGATGTTTTCATTGCTTCTTGCATTAAGTGATCGTTAATTGTTTCGAGTGCATCTTGTAACGGAGCACTTAACTCGAAAAATTCTGAGCTTTCTTCTTCACTCATTTCATAAGTTCTAAAATTGTATTTTTAATTATTTCTCAGTTAGAAATCTTCCCAACCTTCCCCCGTCGGAATTAGGAGAGGAAGAAGGAGACGAAGGTGAAACATCTTCATCAACAATATTATCTGCCGATAAAATAGGTAAATGATGCCTGTTGTGTTGTTTTAATCTGTCGCTATCCAAAACCCCTCCTTGGAAATTATCCAAATATTCATCGTCTTCCTCTTCAAGAGTATCGCCTACATGTGTGCGAAATATGAGCGATCTTTGGGACATTCTGAAAGAATGAAAAAATTAATGGTAATTAAAGGAAGGCGATTCAGCGGGCACCATTTAGAACGTTAATAGGCGGGGGTTTAGAGGTCTATTAAAAGAGAAGGTGAAAAACAGCGCCACCAGCAGCTGAGTCGATACAACACTTGCTAACGTGGTTAGCGAAAGCCCTACTAATAAATGCTAGAGATACATAAATGCCCTTCTATTAGAATAGCATTCTGCCTTAAAACTTTAAATAGAGGTTGCCTCACTATTAGAGAGACAAATATTCAATATACAATAATATTAGTCACCTCGGACTAGAAGACCCTCCTCCCCAACCTCCAGATGAAAGCGAACGCATTTCCGATCTTAAAGGTGTTAATCTATCAGCAGCCTCAGCCTCCTCATCAGGCGTTTCTGCATGTGCTACATTTGGAGAATAACGAGCAATTTTTGGAC